CCCCACCCGCCCGTATCAGAAAAACGAAAATTGGAAAAAAAATCGGAAAAAAATTCATAACTCGAATAATTTTTGACCAATTCTTTGTTTCTTGGTCGCAAATTGAAGAGGGATTAATGCTTCTTAAAATGTGACTATTAACAATTTTTTAAATAAATTTTTGATAGCCAGCGTCCCCACCCGCCCGTATCAGAAAAACGAAAATTGGATAAAAATCGGAAAAAAATTCATAACTCGAAAAATTTTTGACCAATTCTTTGTTTCTTGGTCTCAAATTGAAGAGGGCTTATTGCTTGTTTTCATTGGACCAATAAGAATTTTTTAAAAAAATTTTTGATAGCCAGCGTCCCCACCCGCCCGTATCAGAAAAACGAAAACTGGAAAAAAATCGGAAAAAAATTCATAACTCGAATAATTTTTGACCAATTCCATGTTTCTTGATTGCTAATTAAAGAGGGATTATTGCTTCTTTTTATTGGACCAATAAGAATTTTTTAAATAAATTTTTGATAGCCAGCGTCCCCACCCGCCCGTATCAGAAAAACGAAAATTGGAAAAAAAATCGGAAAAAAATTCATAACTCGAATAATTTTTGACCAATTCTTTGTTTCTTGGTCGCAAATTGAAGGGGGCTTATTGCTTCTTGTCATTGGACCAATAAGAATTTTTTTAATCAATTTTTGATAGCCAGCGTCCCCACCCGCCCGTATCAGAAAAACGAAAATTTGAAAAAAAAATCGGAAAAAAATTCATAACTCGAATAATTTTTGACCAATTCTTTGTTTCTTGGTCGCAAATTGAAGGGGGCTTATTGCTTCTTGTCATTGGACCAATAAGAATTTTTTAAATAAATTTTTGATAGCCAGCGTCCCCACCCGCCCGTATCAGAAAAACGAAAATTGGAAAAAAAAATCGGAAAAAAATTCATAACTCGAATAATTTTTGACCAATTCTTTGTTTCTTGGTCGCAAATTGAAGGGGGCTTATTGCTTTTTGTCATTGGACCAATAAGAATTTTTTAAATAAATTTTTGATAGCCAGCGTCCCCACCCGCCCGCATCAGAAAAACGAAAATTGGAAAAAAATCGGAAAAAAAATCATAACTCGAATAATTTTTGACCAATTCCATGTTTCTTGATTGCTAATTAAAGAGGGATTATTGCTTCTTTTTATTGGACCAATAAGAATTTTTCAAATAAATTTTTGATAGCCAGCGTCCCCACCCGCCCGTATCAGAAAAACGAAAATTGGAAAAAAAATCGGAAAAAAATTGATAACTCGAATAATTTTTGACCAATTCTTTTTTCTTGGTCGCAAATTGAAGGGGGCTTATTGCTTCTTGTCATTGGACCAATAAGAATTTTTTAAATAAATTTTTGATAGCCAGCGTCCCCACCCGCCCGTATCAGAAAAACGAAAATTGGAAAAAAAATCGGAAAAAAATTCATAACTCGAATAATTTTTGACCAATTCTTTGTTTCTTGGTCGCAAATTGAAGGGGGCTTATTGCTTCTTTTTATTGGACCAATAAGAATTTTTTAAATAAATTTTTGATAGCCAGCGTCCCCACTCGCCCGTATCAGAAAAACGAAAATTGGAAAAAAAATCGGAAAAAAATTGATAACTCGAATAATTTTTGACCAATTCTTTGTTTCTTGGTCTCAAATTGAAGGGGGCTTATTCCTTTTTTTCATTGGACCAATAAAAATTTTTTAAAAAAATTTTTGATAGCCAGCGTCCCCACCCGCCCGTATCAGAAAAACGAAAATTGGAAAAAAATCGGAAAAAAATTCATAACTCGAATAATTTTTGACGAATTCTTTGTTTCTTGGTCGCAAATTGAAGAGCAATTAATGCTTTTTGTCATTGGACCAATAAGAATTTTTTAAATAAATTTTTGATAGCCAGCGTACCCACCCGCCCGTATCAGAAAAACGAAAATTGGAAAAAAATCGGAAAAAAATTCATAACTCGAATAATTTTTGACCAATTCCATGTTTCTTGATTGCTAATTAAAGAGGGATTATTGCTTCTTTTTATTAAACCAATAAGAATTTTTTAAATAAATTTTTGATAGCCAGCGTCCCCACCCGCCCGCATCAGAAAAACGAAAATTGGAAAAAAATCGGAAAAAAATTCATAACTCGAATAATTTTTGACCAATTCTTTGTTTCTTGGTCGCAAATTGAAGGGGGCTTATTGCTTCTTGTCATTGGACCAATAAGAATTTTTTAAATAAATTTTTGATAGCCAGCGTCCCCACCCGCCCGTATCAGAAAAACGAAAATTGGAAAATAAATCGGAAAAAAATTGATAACTCGAATAATTTTTGACCAATTCTTTGTTTCTTGGTCTCAAATTGAAAAGGGCTTATTGCTCCTTAAAATGTGACTATTAACAATTTTTTTAATAAATTTTTGATAGCCAGCGTCCCCACCCGCCCGTATCAGAAAAACGAAAATTGGAAAAAAATCGGAAAGAAATTGATAACTCGAATAATTTTTGACCAATTCTTTGTTTCTTGGTCTCAAATTGAAGAGGGCTTATTGCTTTTTTTCATTGGACCAATAAGAATTTTTAAAAAAAATTTTTGATAGCCAGCGTCCCCACCCGCCCGTATCAGAAAAACGAAAATTGGAAAAAAAATCGGAAAAAAATTCATAACTCGAAAAATTTTTGACTAATTCTTTATTTCTTGGTCGCAAATTGAAGAGGGATAAATGCTCCTTAAAATGTGACTATTAACAATTTTTTGAATAAATTTTTGATAGCCAGCGTCCCCACCCGCCCGTATCAGAAAAACGAAAATTGGAAAAAAAATCGGAAAAAAATTCATAACTCGAATAATTTTTGACCAATTCTTTGTTTCTTGGTCGCAAATTGAAGGGGGCTTATTGCTTCTTGTCATTGGACCAATAAGAATTTTTTAAATAAATTTTTGATAGCCAGCGTCCCCACCCGCCCGTATCAGAAAAACGAAAATTGGAAAAAAAAATCGGAAAAAAAAATCGGAAAAAAATTCATAACTCGAATAATTTTTGACCAATTCTTTGTTTCTTGGTCGCAAATTGAAGAGGGCTTATTGCTTCTTGTGATTGGACCAATAAGAATTTTTTAAATAAATTTTTGATAGCCAGCGTCCCCACCCGCCCGTATCAGAAAAACGAAAACTGGAAAAAAATCGGAAAAAAATTGATAACTCGAATAATTTTTGACCAATTCTTTGTTTCTTGGTCTCAAATTGAAGAGGGCTTATTGCTTTTTTTCATTGGACCAATAAGAATTTTTTTAAAAAATTTTTGATAGCCAGCGTCTCCACCCGCCCGTATCAGAAAAACGAAAACTGGAAAAAAATCGGAAAAAAATTGATAACTCGAATAATTTTTGACCAATTCTTTGTTTCTTGGTCGCAAATTGAAGAGCAATTAATGCTCCTTAAAATGTGACTATTAACAATTTTTTAAATAAATTTTTGATAGCCAGCGTCCCCACCCGCCCGTATCAGAAAAACGAAAATTGGAAAACAAATCGGAAAAAAATTCATAACTCGAATAATTTTTGACCAATTCTTTGTTTCTTGGTCGCAAATTGAAGAGCAATTAATGCTTCTTAAAATGTGACTATTAACAATTTTTTAAATAAATTTTTGATAGCCAGCGTCCCCACCCGCCCGTATCAGAAAAACGAAAATTGGAAAAAAAATCGGAAAAAAATTCATAACTCGAATAATTTTTGACCAATTCCTTGTTTCTTGATTGCTAATTAAAGAGGGATTATTGCTTTTTTTTATTGGACCAATAAGAATTTTTTAAATAAATTTTTGATAGCCAGCGTCCCCACCCGCCCGTATCAGAAAAACGAATTTGGAAAAAAAATCGGAAAAAAATTCATAACTCGAATAATTTTTGACCAATTCTTTGTTTCTTGGTCGCAAATTGAAGGGAGTTTATTGCTTCTTGTCATTGGACCAATAAGAATTTTTTAAATAAATTTTTGATAGCCAGCGTCCCCACCCGCCCGTATCAGAAAAACGAAAATTGGAAAAAAAATCGGAAAAAAATTCATAACTCGAATAATATTTGACCAATTCTTTGTTTCTTGGTCGCAAATTGAAGAGCAATTAATGCTTCTTAAAATGTGACTATTAACAATTTTTTAAATAAATTTTTGATAGCCAGCGTCCCCACCCGCCCGTATCAGAAAAACGAAAATTGGAAAAAAATCGGAAAAAAATTCATAACTCAAATAATTTTTGACCAATTCCATGTTTCTTGATTGCTAATTAAAGAGGGATTATTGCTTCTTTTTATTGGACCAATAAGAATTTTTTAAATAAATTTTTGATAGCCAGCGTCCCCACCCGCCCGTATCAGAAAAACGAAAATTGGAAAAAAAATCGGAAAAAAATTCATAACTTGAATAATATTTGACCAATTCTTTGTTTCTTGGTCGCAAATTGAAGAGCAATTAATGCTTCTTAAAATGTGACTATTAACAATTTTTTAAATAAATTTTTGATAGCCAGCGTCCCCACCCGCCCGTATCAGAAAAACGAAAATTGGAAAAAAAATCGGAAAAAAATTCATAACTCGAATAATTTTTGACCAATTCTTTGTTTCTTGGTCGCAAATTGAAGGGGGCTTATTGCTTCTTGTCATTGGACCAATAAGAATTTTTTAAATAAATTTTTGATAGCCAGCGTCCCCACCCGCCCGTATCAGAAAAACGAAAATTGGAAAAAAAATCGGAAAAAAATTAATAATTCGAATAATTTTTGACCAATTCCTTGTTTCTTGATCGCAAATTAAAAAGGGATTAATGCTCCTTAAAATGTGACTATTAACAATTTTTTAAATAAATTTTTGATAGCCAGCGTCCCCACCCGCCCGTATCAGAAAAACGAAAATTGGAAAAAAATCTGAAAAAAATTCATAACTCGAAAAATTTTTGACCAATTCCTTGTTTCTTGATTGCAAATTAAAGAGGGATTATTGCTTTTTTTTATTGGACCAATAATAATTTTTTAAATAAATTTTTCAAGCCGAAAAAGAAATTATCGGGTAGAGAGAATAAAAGATTATTACCAAGACCAAGTTCCATCAAGTTTTCCAAGCCTTCAAATAAATTGCTTGTTAGATTGTTTAAATAATTATGACTAAGACCCAAGTAATTCAAGTTGTTTAAAACTCCAAATGTGTTTCTTGTAAGTGTCACTAAATGATTCTTATCAAAATATAATATATTTAGGTGAGTCAAACCAAAGAAGCAGTTGTCTGGTATTGAACTCAATTTATTTTTAGTGAAACTTATGTATTGTAGATCAGTGCAACCGTTAAATAGATTTTTAGATACGTTTTTAATTCTATTTTTATCAAAGCTGACTTCTCTTAATTTTTTTAATTTACCAAAAGAGCCTGATAGTTCTGTTAATAAATTTTTACTTAAATCCACAGTTTCTAGATAATCCAAACCAAAAAACAAATTTTCAGGTATCGCACGTAATTTATTTCTTTGAAGATCAATTACTGTTAATGTTGTCTTGTTTATAAACAAATCTTGTGCTCTTTCTTTCAAATTATTATCATTTAGATATATTTCCGTTAAATTAGTCGGCAATTCTAGAATCTTATTTTCCTCTGAAAGATTTTTTAAATTATTAACACTAATATTTATTCTCTGCAAATTCTTTAAATCAAGAAAAATATTATAAGGAAATTTCTCGAATTCATTGTTTCCAAAATCAATTTCATTTAGATTTTGCAAATTTTTTAATAAACCAACAGGTAGTACTTTTAAATTATTTCCATTCAAATTTACAAACTATAAATTCTTTAAATCATCAAATATTGTTTCTGAAAGATCTATTAGATAGTTGTTTTCTAATTCTAAAGAAAGTAGAGTATTCAAGCCACGGAATATATTTTCAGGTAACGTATTTAAATAATTGTCAGAAAGAATAATCTCTTGTATGTTTCTGCAGTCTTTGAATAAATCATTTGGAAGAATTTGTAATAAATTTTTATCTAGACTTAGTGTTTTTAATTTATATAATTTGTCAAGTGTCCCTTCTGAAATTTTAACAATTAAATTTTTACTCAAATCTAATATTTCTAATTTTTCCAAATTATAAAATAAATTAGCGCTCAATGAAATCAAACTATTATTCCACATTTGGAGAATTTTCAATGATGACAAATGGTCAAATGTATTATTTGGAAAATTTAAAATTAGATTGTTAAAAATTCTAAGATCATTTAAATGTTTTAGAATCATTTTTGATAAGAATACATTTTTGTTTTTCTTAATTACAATAGATTTCAATGAATCTATATTATCTAATGCTTCATTTTCGATTTTTAGATTCTTGCTTAATGAAATGCCCAACATTGTGAAATTTTCATATTTTTGAAAATTATTATACTTTGAGAGTGTTACATTTTTTTTGGTAATAATTTTCAAATAAATAGAACGAGGTTTAACAATGTTAATTTTAAAAATGTTACTGAAATCTGTTCTGGCACTGATATGACAATTTTTTATTTTGTAGTTTTGTCTCCTTGTGAAATTAAATTCTTCATTAATTTGAAAACTAATATTATAATTGAACGATAATAATTCTGTATTATTGTTGCATGATAGTTTTACTGAATTGTATTGATTATTATCAATTTTAATTTTATAACCGCCACATGTTAAATTTCTGAACCAGTTGGACTTTACTGTGCATAGACAATTATTTAATGGATAATTATCATTTTGCGATTGCAATACTCGTAAAAATGACAGATATCCTAAAACCCACAATATGAACTCCATATTTTTTAATCTATTTTCTATGTAATCTGAAATAAATAATTTAAAAAATATTTTTTTTGTGACAATTTTTTTATGATAATTCGAATATACAAATAAAGTCTTACGAAAATATGTTAAACAGAATTTTAAAAATGTAAATTAGGTAAAGAAATCTATTTTTATGTTATAGGTGCCGTTTTTTAGATTTCTAATATAAAAGAAACAATGTTATAAGGTATTATCGATTACATTACTGTACAAAAAAATAATTTAATAACTAATAATACGAAAGGGTTTCTCCCGTTTCTATAATAAATAAATAATTAATTTAATAACTAACCTGATGACGGAAATCGGTTTCGCCTGTACTTTTTAAAATTTTTCTAATGTTGGTTTATGATGAAAGGAAATTGAGTAAGTATAATATATATGAAGAACTAGATTAAAGAAGCCACGTTTAATATTTTTTTATTTGTTAAACGCAAATATTTTTTATTCTTCTTTCACAAATATTCGGGAAAATAATATTTTTTTTACTATTTATTCGATAAAAAGATTTAACTATCAAAAAATAAAAATTTGTTATATTTTCGCAAAAATTAACAGAAATGACTTTTTTCTTAATAAAGAAATTTGCCTAATTAATCTGTCTGAGATTTTAAAAAATATAAATTCTTAAACAGACTTTTGTCCTTAGAGTTATTACCAAAATAAATTTTATTCAATAAATAGATCTATCTTTAATATTTTTCATTTTTTAATTAATGCAAGTAAATGAATACATGTTTTCAGGTATAACCTTATACGATATATAAATGCAATATCTGCAGTATATAACCATCTGTTTAAATATGACAACGCCATATGATTGTCAAATATCATTTGCAATCATTAATAAAATTTTAGTTTCTGAAGAAGTTGGCAGTGCTGTTGAAAAGTTAATAAGATTTTCATGTTTTCATTTATTTTTTCCTGACCCCAACGGGAAGTTGCCAATGTTAACGATTGGTTCAATAATGGGCCATGCTTGGTGCCCAATGGTTTTTTCTTGGCAAAACAATTGGCAACCATCATTGGACCACCAATGGTTTAAACTTGGGATGATCACGCTACTGCCAATGATCGGTAGCCAAGCATCGGGCCAATATTAGTTGCCAAGGAATTGCCAAGGAAACAAAATCGATTTTCAAAAGCTTGACTTTTTATTGTCAGCCAACAAAAAACCAAGGTTTTAAAAATTGGTTTTTTTTAATTATTAATTAAAATTTATTTTTAAAAAATATATTTTTCAAAAATTTATTTTTTAAAAATATATATTTTTTTAAATTAATAGAACATATTAATTTAATTTGTCACCTCTGGTAAAACAAAGATGAAAGACTGATAAATTCCCTCACTTTATATCTTACAGTGGAGGGATAACTGTGAATGTCTTTGCGAGAGAGGAGCAGGTACTTATATAGAGCCAGTGAAACAGGTCACAAGCGAGAAAAAATCACTAGCATGCACTCTGGCGGCGCTTGTCGGAACTGTTTTCTGGCGCGCATGCATATCCTGACATTATCGACACAGCGCTTGGCAACCAACGTTGCGCCACTTCCGACAAGCGCTGCCAGAGTGCATGCCAGTGATTTCTTCTCGCTTGTGACCTGTTACACTGGCTCTATAAGTACCTGCTCCTCTCTCGCAAAGACATTCACAGTTATCCCTCCACTGTAAGATATAAAGTGAGGGAATTTATCAGTCTTTCATCTTTGTTTTACCAGAGGTGACAAATTAAATTAATATGTTCTATTAATTTAAAAAAATATATATTTTTGAAAAATATATTTTTTTTAAATTAATTTTTGAAAAATATATTTTTTGAAAATAAATTTTAATTAATAATTAAAAAAAATCAATTTTCAAAACCTTGGTTTTTTGTTGGCTACCAATAAAAAATCAAGCTTTTAAAAATCGATTTTGTTTTCTTGGCAATTCCTTGGCAACTAATATTGGCCCGATGCTTGGCTACCGATCATTGGCAGTAGCGTGATCATCCCAAGTTTAAACCATTGGTGGTCCAATGATGGTTGCCATTAATGTTCCAATAATGGAACGGAGTTCGCCAAGCATGGCCCATTATTGAACCAATCGTTTACTTCCCATTGGGACTTGGATGGATTGATAATTCTTCTCTCATTATTGCCTGCAGGCTTTTATAATGAAGGAATATAGATTCAAGGTTTTTTAAAATCAGTTAAAAATTTTTGACAATTCCTGTAAATCTTATAAAAAAAATCTATTCCCTTCTTAAAACAGCGAAATTTTTAGTTATTTTCATATTTTTCAAATTATCTGCAACTTGTTCATTGAATAGTAATACATAAAATTTATTATCTCATTTTAAGTATCTGTTTTAAAAAATTGTACAAGTTTGGAAAAAATATAAATGTATGCAAATAATACATTTACTTTTGTCCCACGTTGCTTTAAAGTGGGAGCCAATATAAAAGAATATATAGTTCGTTCCTTATATGTAACACTAACTATCTATTCTGTAAGTATTTACTTTTTCAATAATTAACTGAACAAACTTAACTTAAAAAATTTTTTAAAGTTTTTTAAAGATTTTACTTTAATGTAATAAACGCGAAATACTTTTTTTATTCTAAAATATAATAATAATAAAATTTTGTAAAATTCTAACTCTGGATAGTTTAATTATACAATTGTTGTCGTGGCCAGTGTTATCAAACAATATTATAATGAATTTACTGTGTAAATGTTTGTTCGTGTATGGGTTAAAATCAAGAAATCGTTGAAATCTTGTCCTGGATAAATAATAATTTGGTTGTTAAAAATTCATGATTTTAAATACAAACATCTTACAGAGTATAATTTTATCTACAATACCTGGTTATTTAATTTAATTTTTTATTGATACAACAGGTACAAAATAGTAAAAATATGTCCAAAATGTCATCGTGTCCCGTGTCCCTATATACATTTTATGATATAAAAAAATTTTTAATTCAATTTTTTATTATATAAAATAAAATGTTTCTTCGTGTACGTGTTCTCCAATGTATAAAGTGTAATATAGGAAAGTAGTGAGAATGTTTATAACACTAAATGCGAAAATTAAAGAATTTTGAACGTGTCCCCAGATTTGGAATTTTTTAATGTCATCGTGTCCTCACCCACATATTTACCGGTTTTCAAATTTGGATCACAATTAAAAGTTGTAAAACTATATTATGAAATAAATGAAGTACGATATAAATTTGATAATACGTGAGCATAAATAAATGTCAAAATCAATTTAAAAATCAGTAAAATGATATTTTGATAATAATAAGAAAAGAATACATCTTCTTTTTGGTCATCGTGTCCACAAGTTTTTTTTAAGGCGAGCATTTTTAAATGGTTATTAATGAATAAAAAAATTTTCTAGTATACGTATATTATTTGTGTAAATACACAATTAAAACTAAATTCAAGTTTTCGAATAATAACAAAAATAAAAATTCATGTTTATTATTTTTTGTCATCGTGTCCCGTTCGACATATCTTTTTTTAGGAGTGAAGTCAGACGTTACATAGATAGAAAGAAAATTTCTAAAATCTATTTGGTTAGATATCAAAAAATATTTTCAGAAATTCATATTAAAACGATTCACACGCTAAATAATATGTTATTATTATTTAACAGGTAAATTCAGTAATTAAATAATTAAAGTAACTAAAAATAAAAAATTTATTATTACTATAAACTTTTTTTTTGTAATTTCATCATATTGAAATAGGTTAAATATGTGATTACTAGAAAAATATTATTAAGCTAATAAGTATTCCTTGATCTTGCATTTTATGATTTTTGACATATTTTAAAACATAACTAACAAAGCAGACAATTTTTTCAACATTTCAAAGATTTTATTTTCTTTTAAAAAGTTAGGCACATATTGTCGATTTTTTTATTTTGAACCGTATGTGTTTTTTCTTATTGAATGTTTGGAGTAGAACACTGTGCACTTTGGGGCTTTGCACCAGACTGTCTGTACCTAGACTTAATGGTTGTTTCATTGGTTCTGAGTCTTCAATCCTTGTGACGTCAAAGAGTGCAATAAAATTCCAGGTCTAAAATCTGTTTCTTCAAGTCCTAAGTGTCTGTTTGTCTGTATTAGTAGTAACTTGTGTGTATTAGTGTATATTGTCGATGAATTTCAATAAGCTCGCGTATTCGGACGAATGATCATTTGGTCTCTTGGCGTTATCTAATTCCAATAGTAATAAGCTGTTACTTTCGCAATAAGTTATTTAAAATAAATGATGAAATAATCAATAAAATATGATTTGTATTAAGTATTCCTTAAAAAGTAATACTTTGACGAAAGTCTCATTTCTAATTAGCTTGTAAATGTCTGGACCATTCACTAAAATTATCAAATCTCTGTGTATCTTTCAGGGTGTACAATTATATCAACCAAAAAAGATTGCAACTACATCATACTGTTAAAAAGGTTTTATCATTTATTAACTATGATTAAAATAGTCATCAGCTGCTTAATCATTAATCTTGTTAAAGGAGAGAATTGTGCGCTTACTGACACTCAAATAGAGGAGATAAAAAATTCTTTTTCAGAAGCGGAGGCAGAGATTAAAAATAATGTTACAAATGAAAGAGCTGCAATTTTCCTAGGAAATGCAAAATCTGGAAAAAGTACCCTAATTAATTACTTAATTGGCAATAAGTTGATAGCTCAAAAAGATTATTATAATGTGTTTAGAATAAAAAGAATTGACAATGAAATACATGGACCGAAAATAGGTACTTATTTATCATCGGAAACTAAGTTAACCAGTCGATATAAATCCAATAAATTCCCTAATTTATCCCTCTGGGATACTCCTGGATTTGATGACAATAGAGGAGAAGTACAAGACATTAATAATTCATTTTACATCTATCAATTGATAAAGAATGTTAAGAGTCTAAAAATTGTATTAGTTTTCGATTTTCATGGTATTGAAAATGAACGTGTTGACGAGTTTGTAAAACTTCTGAAATCTGTTGAAGAAATTTTTGGAAGAGATTTTGAAAAACTTTTTGCAAGCGTATCAATCATTTTCACAAAAGTAGGTAATACGTCTCAAAAATTGAAACGGAATTCTACAGATATTGTTAGAATTTTAAAATATAATATTCTAGAGCCATCTATGGATCCTAATGGTATTAAAATATCTTATTTTGGAAAACATTTCTTAAAATTTTTAATTGACAATACTAATCATATTGGTATCTTTAGAATATCAGAACATGAAGGTATCATCAATTCCAGTGATATTGATGTTAATATTATTAATTCTATTAGAAATTCCAGAAGCGTAAAGAGGCGCTGTCTTCAGAATGTACAGACAAGTATTTCAACTAAATCTTTAAATTGCTTGCACTCAGCTTCAAATAGATTGCAATCATTGGATGTATTTATTAAGTTTCAAAATACTGTCAAAGAAATATTCGAAAACATTATAAATCTCTTTAATAGTACCGCACAAATGTCATCAGATGAAGAATTAGAAATCCTCAAAAGCAATCTAACAGTACATAAAGATCTAATAGAAACTGTACTGATAAATGACAATTTCCATGAAAAGATAAACATTCTACAAGGTGTTTCTTATGGTATTACAAAAGATGTTGAAAAATATGACTTGATGAAAAAAATTACTCAATTGCAATTTATTGATAAATTACTGAAAAAAAATGAGAGTGTGGTGCTTGAGATCGGTATAAAAGCAATTCTATATGGATCACAAATGCGTATGAAAACTTTGATTTCTGAAATTGATTATCAGTTGAATATAATTAACCTCGAAATGCTGGATAAGAAGAAAAAAGCAATTAAAATTGAATATTCAAATATTACAGAACAGTTAAATAATAGTATCAGAAATTTTCCAGAAATAGAGAAGTCAAATAAGTTTTTCAAGAATCTAATAAGTCTTGTGAACTTACTATCCGAGGTTCTTAAAAAACCATAAATTAAATTTTATGAAAGCTATTAATTAATCATATTTTCTAGATATTTATGTGAATAACGGTTTTTTTAATCTATTAAATAATATTGTCATTTGAAATAAAGCTTTGATAATTATATCTTTAATGAAACTTTGTATTCAACGAATTCTATAAAATGTTGAATGATTATCGCAGATTCAATAAAAATACTTTCAATTATTAAGAAAAAATGTATTGTTATTCAGACGTATCCTATTCGTGTGAGCTTGTAGTCAATGATAAAAATTGGAAGTATCAATAAAATATCTCTTTTTTCACGTGGTGCACGTTCTTGTAATTTAAATGGTTTATTATAGAAATTTTATCATCATAAAAATCCTCACATTTGAATGAAATTATAAAAATTAATTTTAAAATGTTTAGGGGCATAAATGTATTAGTTATTTGTAGATGTTTACAATTAGGTTTTAACCAAAATTAAACTAATATTTTAATTTATAAATATATATATATTTTTTTTTTGTTAAATATATATATTTAATTATCTTTTCATAATCGCACTTGACAGTAATTTAGAATTACTCTTTATAGATAGCATAATTATATCCTTTCAAAAGGAAAACACTTAATACTTTTTAGTTTATATTAGTGCAAACTATATTTATTCAAATTAGTCACGATATATAACACGCAACTTGAGAATCGATTTTATATAGTTGTAGATAATAAGAATAATTCATTATGAGTGTGAATTGAAATTTTCTTAAATATAAACTTTTTTCTCAACAATTCAGTATATTTAATATATATAATTTATTATGACTTTCCAATTTTTTGTAAGCAATATATATTTAAAGTGAAAAATTCATTTAAAGTCAATTGACAATAGAATAATATCTAAATAATGGCAATAGAAGAGAAAATAAAAAAAATTGTTACCTGGTCGCCGAAGAATTTGACAATTGCATTATTACCATCGTCAATGATAAACACGATTTTAGGATTCAAGATTTTCAAATTTCCCCATGGACGTAGTATACCGATTTTAACTTATATTTACACATTAACAATAATGTTTTCACTTTCAATTATGTTTTTTGCATCAGAATACAAGAAATGTAATTTTACTTCAGAATATTTGACTAACAGTCGGACAATACTGATTATAATTTATAGTTTAAATCAATTATCTGCCATCGTTTCACTGATTATAACTTTGCTAATGAGTAAGGTAAATAATTTTTTTTTATAATTATATTAGAAATTTTTGTAATATATAAAATTTAAATAGAATTGTGTTATCAATCATATGTTATAATTAATGTTATAAATCATGTTTTTTTACATCTAAATTTTAAAATTTGATAGGAAGAAGAAGTGTGCCTGGAAAGATTAGAATTATTATATCATCATATTGATGGCTATATGTTAGACGAAATCTATCAAAAAATATTTTATCACTCTGTTATTTTAAACTTAGCGAATTGTTGTTTTCATATTGTGGTTGTTATTAATAATTATATTTTATTCGAGAAGTACACCTTCTGGAGGATTTGCTACTGCTCGTTATACTATGAACTATTAGTAATGATACAAATGACTATTGATCTAAATTTTGGATTTCTTATAAAGTAAGTGTTTTTCTATAGTTTAATTTTATTTAACAATTTGTTAATGAATGTATGAAAAATTGTTATAATTAATAACAGAAAATATTTACATGTAAGAAGTAACAAAAGGCATATTAAAAGTCTTATTATTGCTTTTAAATTTTATTTCTAATTCAGATTAATTTAAAAAATTGAAACTCTTTTGAGCAAATCTAAAAATTGAAAAATATATTTCTATTTTATATTTATTATACTTTTGATTTCCAACTACTTATTCCAACATAAACATTTTGTTTATGGATAGAATTTTTATTTTTCATCTTATTTTGGGGTATTATTCATCATCTAGTATAAAACTAGTTTTTTATAAAAATTTTTATCCCTGGTCATATTTTTTAAACTCCGGCGAACATTTTCACTTATTAATATTCTTATACATTTTTTATAATAAATTTTATTCTGATTATATTTTTTTACTAATGCAGATTAATTGGATACTCTTTGAAGCAAATAAACAATAATATAAAATGGAAAAAAAAATTCTCTTTCTTGTATACATCGAATATGATACAGATTGTAAAGTATGTAAAAGATAATTTTTTTCTCTTTCATTTCAAAATATATACCTAATAAATTATTCTAAAGAACCTCTTACACTTTTTTTTCTTATTAGATTACAGTATATGGAATTAAAAAGTATAGCACAAAAAATTAACAATGTTTACAAATTTCAAATTTCAATTTCAATGATAGTAAATTTCTTGTCAATAATAACTGTACTTTACTCAACGGTCGTGACATATGTATTTGAAGAAAAAGATTCACATTTTTATCTAATGGATCTATTTTTATTTAGTGGATTATTTTTAAAATTCATCTACGTCTGTACCTCTTGTTATAATGTAAATTTGGAGGTAATTATATTTATAGTAATAAAATAATTTGATTCAATAATAATTTTTTTATATATATAAACAAAAGTGATGTGGTAAAAATTTTAATTTTTAAAGCATTTATAACATATATAGTGGAAAAAAATTGTTAGATTATTTAAAAATAATAGTCTTAAATATTAAAAATCTATAGATTCATAAAAGTATTTTTATAGTAATATAGTAAAATGATACGTAATACATTTTTTCTGAAATAAAAAACAGGCTATTAAGACTAAGGAACATCTTCTTTATTTAGCACAAGAAGTAAAATTAAAACATGAGGTAAATTATTTTCTTAGAGAATGTATTGTATATATGTTCCACACAAAACGGACCAAACATTTCTTACTCGGGGGTTTTTGAGGTCACTGATTATGAATCTGACCTCAGAATTTAAAAATTCAAAATGGTCGATCCAATATGGCGGACAATATTTTTAAAACTTATTAAAAATTATTATTATCGTTGGGAATTGCTTAAAATTTGTTGTTTGAGGGTTTCTGTGCTTGCTTATCACGAATCTGCCACCAGGGTTTAAAATTCAAAATGGAGGATCCAATATGGCGGACGATATTTTATAAACATTTTTTTACGTTTGTAGAATTTTGGACAGAGCTTTGGTCCGTTTGACGTGGGACGCCCCAAATATTAGTTTTATGTAAAAAAAACTTTGCTTTCTAGGTTAATGAATTTATTGAACAAATCGAACTATCCCCCCTTGTTATTAGCGTATTTGGATGTAAAATAAATCACCAATTGATATTAAGTGTAAGTAATTATTGTAGTTACAAACTGTTTTTTTTTTCATTATTTATTAATTCTAAGGGATGTAAAAGTTGATTAATATTGATATTTTAGAATAAAAAAACAATGAAATAATAAATTTTTTATCATTTAGTTTATACTGGCAATTGTGGATAGATTGACACTAGTGATGCAACTTTACCCAGTAAATTCATATGAAAAAAACCAGTTGAATTTTACTACGTCTGACTTTGGAAATTACAACAACTAAATAACTGTTGATCACTTGAGTCATCATATCTATAAAATAAGAGAATGCTATAAATGCTGTACAATGCTATTTAAATTATTTTACTACCTAATTTAATAAATTATTTTTAAAAAAAGTGTTTTAAAGTATTTTCATTTAAATATTTATTAATTATAAACAAAATAAATTAATTAAAATATTAGAGGAAAATTGTCAAGGTCGGCCCACTTTTTGACTTCTGTTTATAACATTTTTTTAAAAATGAATTTGCTCAACTGAAATATATTGTTGGAAAGTCCTGTGTAATAGAAACACTTTTGCTGAATAGGGTAAATTGATTAGTTTTAAAATAAAAAAGTGATAAAGATTTCAAAAAAATATGTAATCAAGGTTGGCCCTTATAGTCAAGGTCGGTCCATATGTTCGAAATTCAAAGAGCATTACCATTAAGAAATAAATTATCATTTTGAGCTTGTACCAATGTTTATTTGTATATTTATATTTATTTAAAAAGTATCTGTCAAATTTATCTGAAATGGGGGACCAATCTTGACTGTATTCTCACGTTTGTTTGAATAATAAACAGGAAGGAAGATTTATAATATGTTTATTTAATGAATTAAAAGTTTATTATCTATTGATAATTGTTGCTTACATACCGTATTTGTTATTAAAGTTAAAAATATTAAATACATACCTATAGAATTTTTTTAAATATTGGAGAATTATCTGTGTCTTTCTTATTGGGTACTTTTACACGGAGAAAAATTTTCTGTTAATGATTACAATAGTCGAACAGTACTGTTCGGATATGTGACCACTTTTTGTAATGCCTAAAGTAGCTTCGTTTTAACTAT